GGGTGGGAAACCGAGGTGACCTTGTCTCCGCCCATCTAATCGGCGCGGAATATGCCTTAGACGTTATCGATTTTCGGATTAATACAGGAAGACCACAGCATAATGGTCCAGTAGAGCTATTAGGTTACAAGATAATGGACCTATGCTCGAGAATAAGAAGAGGCGATCTGTTTTGCCTCTTAATCAGTCGAACCCAAGCTCGACAGCAGCTAAACCTTAGCACCGTGCTTGTGGACCTTGGCGAGCCACGTGAACTTTCCCAGAGTTTGAACTATTCGAGAATGAAGTTCCGGTCAGAGCTCTCTTTAGGCGACCAGTCGAAGCGTCAACCGAATAAATCCGTGACAACGCCTTGGCTACGCCCAGGGCACGTCGAACGCGAGGAACTCTCAGCGGGAGATCGAGTTTGACCGCTGGAGGTAAGAGGTGTCGTACTTGGCCTCAGAAAAATTCTTGATAAACAGTTTGATGCCCCCTCTGATCCTTCCACCTACTCCTCTTCGACGGCAAAATTTGGATAAAAGCTGGAAAATTTTTGGACTACTGCGCAGGAAGTAGTAGCAAGGTGGGAAAACCTGAGAAGATGGTGGGTAGCACAACAAGAGAAGGTGGGGGAGGTCGTCATAGAGCGGAATTCGAGGAGGGTCTCTATTTTGCGAAAACTTCCCAAGCGATAGGATGTCTTTGGTAGTGGCTGAATCTTCGTAAAAAAACACGACCACAGCGGATTTTGACAGTTTACGATCCTGGTAATAACACCTAACTGAGAAAAGAAAGAAGAAAATCTCACCAACCTGAGGCCGCGGATTGAGATCAAGGTGTACGAGCGCTGGTCGCATATGTAGACTATTATCTCTCAACCAAACATTACTGAATTTAGCACGCATTCCGTCAGCCCATTCAACGCTCAAGCCACGAGGAAGGCGTTGGGCTGACTTAATCGCAATCATCTGAAACTATACGAATTCATAAACAGATGAAATGAAGTCTACATTTAAGACGAGCCACGAAATTAACTGCAGTCAGTGGTGGGTGGGCAGACGGCAGAGGGAGGGATGGGGCACAGAGAACGATCATCATAAGAAATCAGCAATCGAATAGTCATAAGATATTATCGAGCTATACGCCCGTCATAAAGTGATTCCTTCAGCTGACAAGAGATCGACGGGGAAACCCCCTTGGCCTGCCTGCCTGCGTGCCAGCCCAGCGCCGTCATATCAGCGATACACATCTATTCATCAGACAACCGCACCAACACTACACATCTACCCCTCTAGTTCGTCACCTACACTGCCATCGATTCAGTTCAGAGCATCGGGTAACACAGAAGTAACCATACATAGTTACCTAGATGAACTAACAATACTTAGAGTGATGACGGTACACATGACTTTTGATGGACGTAACGAGCAGTGGAATCTCGTCATTCGAAACTATAGGACAGGTTTAATTCATTAATATTGTTGTGCCTCTCGAGGTTTTCAGGTTTTCAGGTTTTTAGGATTTGCTACTGACTAACATCCGCATGTGACGGCGGATCCACGGTGGAGTTCTGGCCTCTGAAGAAGACGACCCTGTCGAAACGTTAGGCCGTTAAATAAAGATTCCACCTAAAAACCTCGAGAGGCACAACAATATTAACGAATTAAACAACGATGCCGAGGTTACAGCAAGAGAGAAGCTGGAGAAAATAGGGCAGGTTATTTTTGCTGAGTTCGAAAGCCTGTAGGGGGAATACCTTGGGTAGATGGTAGAAGGGAGTGCAAGCAGCCTGTTCGTAAAAGTGATAAGAAGAGAAAGTCCAAAGTTTCAATTTCCACCAAAGATCATCCGAGACACTTATCAGAAAAAGACCGTAGGTAGGGACAGATAGAACTGGCTGAATCATGAGTATTGGGCACCACCCTGCGG